ACGAACATAAGAACTGAAAATAACGCATAGAGATTTTTAAAATGTTATCTTCATGCACTCCATCCTCCCTGGTCCACACTCATACCCCATACACATACACCTCCTTTAAATATAGCTAAGGAGGTAACATCGGGAAGTTGATAGAAAAGAAAGCAGTGAGGACACCAAAGGAAAACTCTTGCCTCTCTTTTCTCTTTGTTGATTTTGTCTGTGATTGGTTGAGCTCATTAGGAATCAAAGACTCAGAGACTTTTAGAGTTCAAAGTGTTCTTGGAGATCATTCAAAATAACTTCTCCATCCTACAAATGAGGACGCTGCAACTCAGATAAATAAAACAATTTGCCCAAAATATATAGATTTACGTGTTGCCCAACCTGGATGGGTAGGTTGAATTAATACTCATAAGATGCCCATTGACCAGCAAAATAGGCATCTACAAGCTCTGGAAGATTCCGGCATCCCAGAGTGAGAGTCATTCTAGGCTGGAAGGGTGTCCACCAAGACAGCTGTGAACTCCTGGGGCCCAAACACTACCAGTTCAGGGGCTCCAGAGGAATATAGATGGTCCTAAGATACCTCAGAGTTGAGAATAAGTATGTTTTAAATGAATGTGTGAAAAACAATCCGCAAGATATATGTAACCACTTGTAACATACCCATTGAAATATTCTGATGCAGTTCAGCCTCAGAGGGTATCAAGTGGCAAAATAAGGCACTGCTTAAAATTTGCAAATATATACATTTATACATGTACATATATATGATCAGTGATGCAATGGTAAGTATGAGTGTTCATTCTCAGAACTATTCATATCACTCTATGGCTTTTATGCTAAGTAGATTACAAATATCATAGAATTAGTGTAGAGCATTAAGATAAACTAAGAGTGTTAGAGTAAATGGAAGGAGAAAGAACACAGATATGCTATTTTATTATCTTAGTATCGGAATTAATGTCTTCTTTAACGTGGTGTAACAACATTTGGCTCCTGGGCAGTTGTTTTTTTTAGTTAATGCTGTATTTATCAGGACTCCAGTTTCTTCCCACCTGATTAGATGTACGCCACCTCACTGGAATCTAGGAAGGAGCTAATGTATACTGAAACCAAATTTGATGCTTAGAAAATCCTTGAGTTGTTGAAAGGCACACCTGTGTTGTTTGGCAGGTGAGTTAAATCACAAGTAAAGAATTTCTGCAAATCTCCTGTTCAGTCGGCTAAACTGGTTTAACTCCTATTGACCCCCCCAACACCCCACCCCCCATGGGGGAATCCTCCATTTTTCCTTAATAAGCACAATAATCCCAAAGAAATACCTTCCAATGCTAATCTCAGAGGTTTAGGTCTCAAAAATGGAAAGGCTCAGAATATATTTCAGGACACTGAAGGTATTCATGTCAAATTTATTAACTGATAGATACATTAGTAGTTTTCATACTGGAAAAAATCTATAGATTTTTTGTAAAGACCAAATTATTGTTAATTGTTACTTTGAATAATTGGGAGAAGTAACTTTATAGCTGTATTCACTAATATTTAATTCTTATATTTAAATAAGAATAGTTTGCTATGGATAGTTAAATAAAAATTTCAGTGAACTGGATCTTAAAGAAAATAAGGAAGCATTTATCAGTTGAAAGGTACTCTGTAAATCTGTTTGCAGATTAACTGCAAAGGTTATTTGGGACTCTATAATCTTTAAGTGAAACAAGCCATTTATCCATTACTTCTTTTTAAAAATCTCTATTTGGTTCATTTTATTTTCTGGACATTCTTGTGTTGAATTATGTGGTAATCTGTACTACCTTTAGGTTTCTTCCGACTAAACTGGTTTTGAAAAGCTTAAGATATAAGACATTGTAAAATAAATGGTTAATTCATTACATGATATTGTTTAGGTATTAAAGAAAGTTAATATTTTTTACCCTTTGGTTGGGGTCTAAAATGTAACTCTCTTTAATAAATATGCAGTACATGCCAGGGAAGAAAAGAAAAGAGTTTAGGGTTGTCCAACTTCATAGAATAAACAAAGGATAAAAGTAGAAAATTAATGAAGGCTACAGGCATGACGAACCTAGTCTGTTTGAGCTGGCAAAGGAACTAATGACGCTGCCATCCAGGTCTTATTTATGGGCTGCTTGTGGTATTTTCAACTCCTTTTAAACTGAAACTGTGTGCTATAATCTCTACAGTAAAAGAAAATGTTTTTCAAAAATTTTAACCAAGGGATTAATATTCCTTTTCTCTATAATACACACCGTATGTTTTGCTGAATTAACTGTTTATACACATATATGTGAATCTCAAATGGTCAGAGCTGTGGTTCCCAACCTGGCTGTAAATTAGCATCTTTGGAAAGATCACTAGTAGAGCCACCCCCAGAGATTCTGGCTTAAATGATCCCATCCAGTGATGTGGAGGAATGGGGGCAGGGGGTGTGTCTTTCTTGGAGATGCAAGTTAAAAATTCAGAATTTGTTTCCTCTGGAAGTTATGTTGCAATGGTTTATGGATTTTTAAAGTACAATAGATATAACTACATTATCTGTTAAATAACTTTCGTGAACTGGTCTAAAACACCAAACCATCCCTTATAGATCTTTCTTTTAACAAACAATGTACCCTTGGTTGCTAACAAATGAATTTATATACAACCTGTGGATAAATTAGGAACTGCTTGTGTCTTCAAGGTCACAATGCTATACTTTTTAGTGTGTGAAAAGTAAGTCAGTGTTTTGTCTTGTAAAAAAAAAAAATGAAGGAAGGAAGGGAGGGAGGAAGGAAGAAAGAATCAACAATCTTAGTTAGTACCTACCACGAGGAAGACAGCAAACAAAGAGGCTGTCAAACAAGACCAGGAAAAAAAGTGCAAAACCAAAATTTGTGTAATTTTTAATTTAGGAAACTCCATAGGGAATATCCTGATTCATGACTTTTTGTGTTTTCTGAATGTTAAATTGGATCAGAAATAGATAAATTGTTCAGAAAGGGATATGACATAGAAATAATAGTGGAAATATGCTGGAAGGCAAGAAATCCAATGATAAAAGCACTTTAAAAAGGCAAATCATACAAAAGAATAAAAGACACTTTGTAGTCAATACTCAAAGGTGACTGATTTGAATAGCAGAGAAGATGAGAAGGATGAGGTTAGTTAGATGCTTCCCAAACTGTTTATAAATTTGACCTACTGGTAAATCCAACATGACACACCAAGAGCAGTATAGTATTGTAGCCACATCTACATTTCACCAGGCAAATCGTCTTCACCCTTATTCCCATTTACACAAGCTATGAGACGGCCAAGCACATGCACACAACCCTCCTAAGGTCTGCTACACAGCCAAAAAAGTGGGACTTACCCTGTGTTGTCTCAGTGCAGATTACAGAATTGGGGTGGAACTTAAGGAGAGATAGCTTAGGATTCAGAATGAAAAAAAAAAAAAAAACTTTCTAAAAGGCTGGCAAAACGAAACCAAACCATAACACACACCTTGCCATGCACTGAACCCATGGCCTTGAAGATTAGAGCATGAACTGAATATTATCTCTAAAAATAGACAGGATGATGAGCATGTCCTAATAGTCTCCGATGATCCTTCCAGATCGTAAGTTTTGATGGTTCTGTAGTCCAACCTCCTCTCTTCTCCATGGATATCTAAGCATGTCAAATTTCATTCTATATCTACTTGGTTAAAAAAAAAGTGACAGAGGGGAATTGAGAAATTCTTCACAATGAACCAAAGTGTCCCTGCACAAAGACTGAAAAATAGAGGGTTAGCAACTACTAGCTTTATTGTAGCAGACTTATTTATAGGTTTTAGACCTTTGGTTACTTTTGGCAAGAAGTGAATCCTGAAAGCTCATACCAAGAACTGCAAGAACTTTAAATAGATAAATAACCGCAGACAATGTCTTTGTTCTCTCATTTTATTTCCAAATTTGTGACATCAGGAGTCAAAAGTACACCGTAATCTTTATGTGTACATTGAGACAGCAATGAAGGAATGGATGAGTTTATTCTGTAATTAGGTGTGAAAGGTGCAGCTGGTAAAAAAGTAAAACATGATGCAGAGTAGTTTCCACTGTGACAGAACCATCAATTCATTGAACAGACTCCAATCTGGGAACTGAAAATGTCTTAAATGCATACCCTATGTGTAGTGCATTAGTATCAGCAGGCCGGATTCAAGACTGAGATTGCAATGAAGGCCCTGATGGAGCCTGTGCCCTTGAATTTAGGCCTGTCCAAGCACCTCTTTACAATGACTTTCCGCATACCACCGGGCCAAAAAGAACTGCAGAACTTTAGGGCAGGCCGATTTCGAGCCCAAAACTGCCAGTGATCTCTCTTTGACAAGTAAAAAAGGGTCACCCAAACAAGCGTGGCACGAAAACCTTTACAGTTCAACACCCCAAGGCTGCGTTACCAGGCTGTGTCTTTTCTGGGCACACAAAAGGCATTTTCTGCCCTGCTCTTACAAGGTTTTCTGGAAGCCAATCTATTTGCCATGGGTAGGGCTGGGAGGGGAGGGGGGAGGTGAGACGCCACAGGTAGTCTACATCCGGCTGCCAGTCTGTCCAACAGGTGAGCCACTCTCCGCGGGTCCTGGGCCCCGGAAATGGGAGGGCGGGGGGCGAAAGTTTGCTCAGGCCTGCGTTTTTCCCCGACCGCAGGCACCAAGCCAATTGGCTGGCTAGAATTCCGGCGCGACCCTAAAAAGCGCCTAGCGAGGTCCTCCTGACCCCGAGGGCGCGTCCCCGGGTTGGTTCGCGCCCCCTAGTGCCGGATCTGCGGGCCGGAGGGGAGGAGAGGACAGGAGGGGAAGG